AGATGTGGCAATGGAGATTCATCCACACGTACAAAAACTTGGCGAAAGCCACGGTGTCCAAACTGCAAGAGATGTAAAAATGACGGTGCGGACAGTTGAGCATGCCTGAACTTGTTTGAAGCAGAAATTGCGTTTCGCCTAGGCGAAATACACATTTATCTAAAAAACCACCAAATTCAGACGTCTGAATTTCAGAGTTTTTGTGATCGCTGAATTGTGTTTTCGCCCTGGCGAAACGATGATTTTTTGAAAAAAACAGTATTTCACGACCTCACTTTCCGGTCCGCCGGGATGTTTTTGTCACCGTGGGGCTTTCCAGGGAGATCCTGGCAGGAACGCCACTTGCCAATGGAACTGGCTCAGCCCCTGGGCCAGGCGGGTCCTAAAGATCAGAGCTGCCCAGTGAAGATCATTTTATGTTAAGAAAACACGCTGTTTTTTGTTGTTGGTCAAAGAGGCTTCTTATTGGGTCAAACAAAACCTGCTATTGTACTTTTATTGTTCAAACGTGCGATCTTTTTTGTTGTTTCGTTGGCTCATAACCTATGACTGTAGATTCAAACGGCATCATTTTTGTTGATCAAAACTCCAGTCTTGCTTGGCGGATATCCCGCATGGTTGCTGTTTCAATTGGTTGTAGGGTGAAAATAACTGAAAAGAATCATTTAGTGACTTCCGCAAGGCACCCCGGTATTCTGAAAATGTCATGGAATTACACCTGATAACGTCCACATACTCCACATCAAATCCATATTGCAACCGTATGGCTGGGTTTCAGGCTTCCTACATCTACATATTGGAAATCAACCTCCCATAAAATGGCCCCAAGAAGCCTCTAGTAAATTGACAAAAAACGATATTCCGATATGGAAAACAAACATGGTGTCCAGAAAATGATCTAGATTCATGGTGGATTCCCCCTGGCCAGGAGCCGCTTCCACCGCCAACGGCTCCCATGGAACCAGGTGACTGTGATGGGAGCTGCCGAATTGGAGGGGTTTAGTCATGATTTATAGCAACCAAAAAGCAACCAAAAAGATTGACATGGTGTGATTTGTCACTATTTTCGCAGGGTTTGCAGGTTTGCTGTTTTTTCGATCCTTTTTTTCGAGTTGCTAATAGCGGCTATACAGATGACCCGGTCAAATCCTGAAAACCAACCTGGCTACTGGGAGAACTCGGTTTTTCTCCAATGGCCTAAGTAAAAACTTGGATTTGCATCCTGCTTGGCAAGAGATTAAGCATCATGAATGATATACATATATATGTAATAATCATAGCGCTGGGGATTGGGGTCCGCATTTTTTTTTCGCGCCGATGCACCGATACACCGCGCGATAAGAATCCATGTGCAACCGCGGTCCTCATCAAACACGGACTTTACAACTAAAAGATGTGGTCCCAATGCCATAATCCTACCACTTGGGGATGGTTTAAAGAAACAACCCATTTACGGTAAGCCATTGCTGGTTGATGCCAGCTTTGCCTCTTTTCGTTTACCCATGATTTTCAACCATTCTTGTTTGTTCTATCACTATTAACCATTTAACTGTTGAGCATTATTAATCAATACTAACCATTACTAACCACTATGACGCATTATAACAATCATTTTAAAACATTATTAAACATGATTTGCTATTAACAATTCTTATCCATAGTTATTTCAGCACATCCCGGCACCTCCACAAGTTCTTGTGATTCTCAGCAGGTGCAGCCTCACCCTCCGAGGTCAAGGTCAAGGTTGGCAGGGCTATGGTTTAGGGCATTGGGCCATATCTTTCTATCCCATTGTTAGTTAAAGCCAAGTTCTATGATATGGCATATTATATAAAGCATCACCAATATTCACTAATTGGATTATATATATATATACACATACACACACATATTTCATGTAAATGTATGTATGTGTATTATGTATATATATATACACATTATGTATACATATATTTCCCCACCATTTCACTCTATCACTATGTTGGGCTATGGTTTGTGGCATTGGCTTCACGGCTTGCTAGGCAACGGGTATCTGGTTGATGACCATCCCCAAGAACTGGCACCATCCTTTTGGTGCAGGATTTCGCAACCATCCACAGCATCATGAATTACTCAGTTGATATTTCTTCACACCTTTCATGACATTGATAAATTGCTACGTTTTCTAAAGAAACATTGGCTTGACGGTTTCCGAACAATGTTGTTCAACACGTTACGTCGCAGGCGAAACCGCCCCGTGGACAGGACGTGCTTTGAGGCGACTGAAACAGGGGAAACGCTTGGAAAAAAACAGGGGAGTTTCAGGGTGGTGTAGCGGTGTATTGTCATTCATGAGTATCATTTTTATGGATATAAACCTTATACATATATATATATGGGTATGGATCAATACCTATTAATACCATTTTTAGGGGGTTATTCACATCCATAAATCCCAGCTATTTTGATGTGAACTACAGGGGTACTATTGGTTTTGACACACTGCCATATAGCATTGTCAGGATTATCATCATTCAACTAGATGTTGTTCCTTTGTCCCTTCAAGCTTCATGGATCAGTGGAGACTGGCACGACTGGGTTTCATGACACCGCCAGGGGAGGTGGACACGTCGGGTTTCACCCTGAATTAGCCTAGTGCGGCGCCGGTCTTCAAAAGCAAGTTGCAATGGTTCACATTGACCCCGGTATGGTGGTTGTCTGAAAATCTCAGTGAACTTGTGTTTGAAGGATTTTTTGACATGTGTTTGGCTTGGTGGTCTTTCGATGCGTGCGATATGGGTTTGACAGATTGAGTTAGTTTCCGAACAATTTTTGATGTTTGAGATCTGACTGCCACTGGGGACAATAATTTTCCACCCTCTGCAGTTTAACCCGGAGATTGCCAAAGAGGTCCCGACCAAAAGCAGGCGCAGCGCCGAAACCTATGAGCTCTTCTGGAGACTGCTGGTATTATCCTAACATCCCTCATCTGCTCGAGGGGTTTTTCAAATACAAATGCAACAGTTGCGCTGTTGATTTCCTCAGTTCCGCTGGATAGTCCCCATTTCGGAAATGTTGGCAGGTTTCGGATTTGCGTCGTCTCGGGACTGAAGAGTGCCACGCGTGTTCCGCGCGCATGTGTGACATGATTCCGGGGATCTTTCAAACAACAGCCCATCGAGTGGGCCGTTGCTAACAACTTCGGCAGGGCTCGGTGTGTTTGATGGCAGACCATTGAAACCATTGAAACGATTGAAACCATTGAAACCATTGCATTCTCCACGAATATTTGAGCCATACAAAAAAAATGACAAGAACTTTTTTCTGGCCACAAGTTCGAACATATGTGTATACATGTAGCATATACCCACAATTGATACTGATGATAACTACCTTTATACTACTGATAGTCAGGACAATAATGCCGACAACAATGACAATACCTTTGGATATCAAAGCTGGCAATGGAAACAAATACCTCATTCCTAGATTATATATATATAAATACATATAATGTTACATATGTATATATAATATAATATAATATAATATAATATAATATAATATAATATAATATATAATATAACATATAATATAATATATAATATAATATAATATAATATATAATATAATATATAATATAATATAATATGATATATAATATAATATATAATATAATATAATATAATATATAATATAATATAAAATATAATATAATATAATATATAATATAATATATACTATAATATATAATATAATATATAATATATAATATAATATAATATATAATATAAAATATAATATATAATATAATATATAATATAATATAATATATAATATAATATATAATATAATATAATATAATATATAATATAATATATAATATAATATAAAATAATATAATATAATATATAATATAATATAATATATAATATAATATAATATATAATATAATATAATATAATATATAATATAATATATACTATAATATATACATACATACATACATATAATATAATATACATACATACATACATACATACATACATACATACATACATACATACATACATACATACATACATACATACATACATACATACATACATACATACATACATACATACATACATACATACATACATACATACATATACACAATATAATATACATATATATATATATATCCCATCAAAACCCCATTCATAGAGGATTTTCCAGCTTGCCATGTTTGATGACACAGGAGGGTAACGATGACACAGGTTACGGCCGTCACATCAACCCCACGAGCAGCCACCACGAATCCAGGCATTGGGACCTCACCCAGATCTGCTAAGTGCCGTGCCCAAAAAAAGGGGAGGCGGTGGCGTGGTGGAATTGGGGGTTGGACCCCCAGGTTATAGCTATGTAGATGGGGGGACAGAGATATTTTTTTTGGGGTGGTATGTTTTGATACCCAGATGGATCATTGTGAACGGCCCCACGGATGGCTCCACTTACACATGGTTGGGTTGCAAAGGAAACCACCCAAAAATGGCCTTATAGACAAGGTTTGGGCTGTACTGTAAAATGAAGATCACACTAAGAATGGTAACCATATCAGTAACAACAATAGTGATGACCCTGATACAGCGAAATAGCTACTAACAATGGACGTAGTAATGATATAGACGATATACATCCAACACATCCAGGTTTGGAAGGTCTGGAGGGGCCAATTTCAAGCCATACCCAAGTGGGTCACTGCCGCTTTTGGGCTTTGGTAGCTGTTTTTCACCCAGTTGCACAGGACAAACATTTGCATTGGATGATCATTGATTTTATGTCTGTTTCGATGCCAGACATAGTGTAGAAAATTTGAGGATTGACAGTTTTGTTCAATGAAATCTGTTGGACCAAAGCCATGAAAATGGAGCGCGGTCTTTCGATTCACACACTTCAACACACACATGCAGAAACACACCCACACGCATAGCTACTGTAAATGTTTTTTCAAGCCTTCTCTGACACAGAACTCGAGACAAAAATCAAAGTCAGGGCCGGCAGTGATCCATTGATCCCCTGATGCAGCGGTGTGGGACTGAGCCTTTGTCGATTTTTGTGCATTGACGTGCATCTAAAATATTCTAAAATCTAAAAGTTCCAAAGACATAGGCCAGTTTTGTCCAATGATCCATGCAAAACAAACATCAGCCCTGGGTGGTTACAACATGTTACAACGTCACCTTTACATGAGTTGGATCATATCATCATAACTCCTTGGGGGATGGCTATCAACCCATAGGGATTTGTTGAGACAAATCACTCAGGTCTTTGTCCTCTGGTCAGGGAGGCTGGGATCATCTTAGGATTGAAAAACGTGGGAGTTTTTTTGAGGCTTTGGTACCTGAAAATGGTCAGTATGCTCAATTTATGGTTATTTTAATGGGTAACGTCCATCCTCGTCCATGATAACAATGATGGACCCCTGAACAACTCCATCAACCTATCTGCATCTATTTTGTATCCTGGATAGACCTTGGTAAAGGTTTTCCAAGTCAAGTTCAAGACTAGGAATCTCTGATACCCAGCTAGAAAATGCATCCGAAACACTCTGAAGTTTGCAGGGTATCAACCGCCAATCAACCGCGTATCGGGTCCGGCGACATTTTGGAGGTTTGAGCCACTTGGACATCGACTGCAAGGCCTGGAGGGTCTGGATCAGCTCAGGGGGTTTGTGACAGCTACTGTAAGTACTGCCGGTTGCCCCGTCTGATAGCGAAATCAAGAATTTGGATGGCCAGTTTTCTGGAGTATCGTCAGTATCATCTTCCTTCTGGAAAACCCATCTACCTTCTGGAAAACCCAAGACCAGTTCCTGAGGCAATGTCTACATCGGGACAACATGAAACATTGGAAAAGCATGAACTTCGACCATTCAATGGCCAATGCCGGAACAACTTCTTTGGGAACTCCAAATTTTTGGTACTGGTCAAGCTTTAAGGATCACGGAATCACAGATGGCTTTCCCTCCTTTCAGATTTCAAATCCTTCAATCTTCTGGCAGTTATTGGTGGTAACAACTCCAACTTTCTTGCGAAAAATAAACTGTTGGTGAACACCCCATAATCCCATACACACACACACTGCATATTTATAAATTATATACATGTATGTAATGTACAATGCCCACATTTATATATATCCCCCCAAGCTTTGTTGGTTGAAGCTCGGCCAAGACTTCAGGAGGCTCTTCAGCAATTGCTGCGGCCCAGGCGGGGGATGCCCGCACTGCTGAAACATTGCAAATCTGCACAATTGTAGAACTGCTGGATTTTGGGACGCCAACGATTTGGATTATTTTGAGAGGATGTCTTTTTTGGCAGGATGGATTTTAGAACCCTTGAACTAGCTTTTTTTTTCTGGACTATTGGCCTTGGTTTTGAGCCAACAAGGGCTGTTCAACTTCAACACTGCTCCAGCTGCCCAGTTACTATGGGATCATCAACCCATGGATGGGTTCCGCGCAAGAAGCCTCAGATGGTGGATATTTGGATGTGTGAATCTTGAGATCAAGAACTGTCCTTTGTGGGAGAAAATGAGGAGCTGGTTTGGTAGACCGTTTGGTAGACCATTCCTAGGTTCTTTCATGGTGTTGACCCCTTTATTAAACCAACCAGCGGGAAAAGGACATTGTCTCGTTGAGATTCCGAGTCGCAATCAGAAATTCGGCTTCGTCTAGGTCGACACGCCAGAAGCAGGACATGATCTTGTTGAAGAAAAGGATGGAAGGCCAGCGGGTCATCTTAGCTTCCTGTCAAGGCTTGAGAAAAGCAAAGAAGCCTGGGGCGAGGTGAAACTGAAAGACTCTGAAAGTTGAAGGGACTTTGGTGGACTTCATCCAGGGCAACAGTTAAACCGAGTTGACCCGCGCAGTGCTGTCTCAGAAATCCTGCAAGCCTCAATCATTCTCAATCCAAAGCACATCGAAGACTGCCTCCCTGCAAGCTTTTGGATGGGTTTGCGCAACACCAGGAGACATCGGGATACCCTAAAATGGCTGCTTTTATGGGAGATACCAGGAGATAGGCACCATAAACCTTGGGATTTGAAGGCTCACATTTTTCGCAGACGATCACCTTTGTATCTACCTTTCAGCCGGCCCGCAGAAGCTGATCGACCGGGGAAGAATCCCTACCTCATGGCTAGGGAAACTCAGAGTGGCTGGGTTTCTGAGCCATGACCTATATATAAAAGGATTTCCAAAGCCACACCTTTCTTTAGCCAGCAAAGTAAAGAATGTAAAGAAGATATATACCTCAAACCTAGTGGTTTTGGTTGAACCAAAATATGTCCATTGCGATATGTCCATCTGCTTTTTTTTGGGTCTCCCGCTGCTCCTGCCTTGCAACTAAGAAAACAATAGGACACACACCTTAAGAGAATCGCCACAGGCATTTGGTCTTCGAAAGTGGCATATGCTGTTACTCTCGTGAAGTTGAATTGACAAATAGCTTATATATGTGGGTCATGGTGAAAATTGGGTGCCAACCCCAAAATGTCTAGTTCTGCTAGTGGCCAGTGATTTTGCAAGTGGGCCGATCAACCCCCCTTTCGCTCAGGCGGATGTTGGCAAGATCCAGGCACAGTCGTCTTCAGCAGTGGAAATCCGTGAGTTTTCGGACCTTTCCAAGTTTGGAATTCAGGAAGGAGATCAATGCCTCCCCAGAAAATGCCGATGGCTCTTAAAACCTTTGTACGATCTTTGAGGCATCGTTTTCAGATCAGTCCAAAGCAGGGTGACGAGATTTTTTGCATGGCCAGATCACCTCCAACCCTTGGGGACGTGAACGCGAGTCCAATGTTGCTTGGCCGGTGGTGACTTACTTGGACCACTAGTCTCACTAGTGCTGCTTTCCCCAACTTGGGATACTGTCTGGTAAACTAACATATGGAAAATCACCAGGTTTAATGGGAAAATCAACCATAAATGTACCATTTTCCATAGCTATGTTAGTTTACCAGAGGGAAGTCATTCCGACAACCAACAGCTTGACCCGAATCGGGTCCTTACGTTGGACGGACGGAGATTTTGCCATCATACATCCGGTAGGACGACCTGATATGTTGACACTGTTGTCATATAATGTATACATACATATATATATATATATATACATAATATAATATAATATAATATAATATAGTACAATGTAACATAATTTAAAATAATATAATATAATATTATAATATATTATATATATAATATCATATATATAATAATATATATATAATACAATACATATAATATAATATATTCTATATATTATCTATATTATATGATATATGATATATAATATTGGATATATTATATATAATATAATATATAATACTATGTATAATATTATATAAAATATATAAAATATAATATACAATATATAATATATAATATTTGATATATAATATATAATATATAATATTTGATATATAATATATAATATATAATATAGTATATATAATATTTACTATATATTATATGACATATGATCTAAACTATGTAATAATTATAATATACTATAATATAATATAATGTAATATAATATTATAATACAATACAATACAATATAATATAATACAATACAATATAATATAATATATTATAATATAATATAATATAATATATTAAAATATAATATAATATTATGTGATATAATACAATATGATATAATAAAATATCAAATATGTTATATTATATAATATGATATTATATACTATATAATATAATATGATATTATATAATATAATATGATACTGTAAAATATATCATATAATATGAAATTATATAATATATAATATAATATGATATTATATACTATATAATATAATATACTATATAATATAATATAAAATATAATATAATATATAATATGATATGATATAATATATAATATATAATATATAATATATAATATATAATATATAATATATAATATATAATATATAATATATAATATATAATAAATAATATAATATATAATATATAATATAATATGTAATATATATAATATATAATATATAATATATAATATATAATATATAATATATAATATGTAATACATAATACATAATAAATAATATATAATATAATATATAATATAATATATAATATAATATATAATATAATATATAATATAATATATAATATATAATATATAATATATAATATATAATACATAATATATAATATATAATATATAATATATAATATATAATATACTTTACTATACTATATGCATTATTCATGTGTATGGAAACAATGTTTCATGACTCAACATGGTCCCCATGTATTGCCACCCCCAACCCCAGCCGTTGAGGTGATTCCCGTCACGGCGGACCGTATCCAGGCGGATCTCTTGAGAAATCAGCGCCTCGGAGCTGAGCAGTTGGTTTTGCTGGTTCCCTACGAGGATCAGCCCACGAATCGTGACTTGTTACTGTAACTGAACTGGGGTTCTACCCAGTTCTACCCAGTAGATGGGATAAGCCTAGACTTACTAAGTGGAACGATCCTCCGATCCGGAAATCTAGCTATGGAAAATCACTATTTTCAATAGGCAAAACATGTTACCAACAACACATCCAAACAATATGATATACTTATCACCAGAGGATCAATGAAAACACTGGCTATACGCAGTGATTTTGACTTTAAGTTTTCATGATTTAGGCTTTTAATTTAGGTTTTAGGGTTTTAGGGTTTTAGGTTTTAGGGTTTACCGTGTTTGTTGTTTTGGAAAGTAAACAACTTAAACCCTGCGCAGGGATTCGAACATGTCAAAGGATATGCGGGATTGGCCGCGGGCAAACCTAGGGGTTGCAGCGAACATGTATAAATGAACCATGGCTTCCAAAGCTATGTCAAATTGCCAGAGGGTTTCTAATCTTTTGCATTTAGAATGTTTTTTGAGTCACCTTGAGGTGGAAGATGTTTTTTGGGATTTTTGGGATCTTAGGTAGTTTCTTTTCTTCTTGAAAATATATTCTGAATGTTACGATAAATTTGGGGAGATCCAGTCTTGATGGATGCGTTTTCTTAGATGCTGAATGTCATTTTTCACAAGTCGGGGACCCCTGGGGAGGATTTCCAGCTAGGTGACATTACTGGAGGGCACCCCGAAAAGGTGAGACAAGAGCGGCTTTTAGCAGCTTCTAAGACCTCTTGCCCCAAATCCAGCCATGGTTCGGTGATTCGGCAAGTTTGGCCAAAATAAATAGATATCATTGCAGCATACGCCAGGGATGGATATGATATGGCCATGCGCCCCAAACCGCCGACCCTAGGTCCGGGGCCGAGCAGCGCGACGTGCGAAGGGAGAAGGAGCGTCAGTGCGCCAGGGGTACTGGCGCTTGACCCAAGAAATTGGGGTTGTACACCACCTGAATTTAGCATGGTCCCTGCAATTTACGGGAAGATGATTTTCCGCAATTGTATACGGTATGATATGGCCATGTTTTGGGTGGATCCATTTAGAATTCATTGGTGTAAATCCTAGTCGATACTGACAGGGATCCTCTTCCCAACTTGGCTAAACTGATGGGTCATGTGTTTCTGTACCCGGCAAGTTGGCTACTAACTTGATACTTCAAGAAGCAGCAAATACCATCCCAAAGCGTGGAACCCTGAGAATCACTTGTTTTTAGGGGAAGGTAGTCTTCCAACACCTATTTGACAGGGTCCATGTTGGTTGCGAATGGTATCACTTTTTTTGGGAGGCTTGAACTGAACTTTTGACCCTTACCCCAAATGGGCAGTGTTCAAAACCCCTGTTGATTGATGATTGTAGGGGCTACCCCTTGTATCGGGGATTGTCATAATCCATGGGCCGGGAATCCCTAGTAACCGACCAATAGAATTGTGAGCTCGATTGGTTAATTTTTGGGGTTATACATAGTTATACTGTATATAAGGGATTGCCACATTCCATTATGAGAAATTCTACTAACCACGCAGTATTGAACAATGCTCAAATGATCAAAATGGTGAAGGTGCCTCGGTTGTGCTGGCGAAAACCGACTCGGTTGTGCACGCGAAAAACAACTCAGTTGCGTGCGGATGATGATGATGATGATGATGATGATGGTGATGGTGATGGTGATTGTGATGGTGATGGTGATGGTGATGGTGATGATGCTTATGATGATTGTGGTGATGATGCCTTTGACGAAGATGCAGATGGAGATGAGGATGAGCATGAAGATGAAGAAACATAATGATGATGAGGAGAACGACCATGATGGGGAAAATGAACTTCATGATGACAAGGATGTTTCGCTTTCGATGTAGATTTCTGCTCCCTTCCTGAAAGTTGAAGTGTGATGGTAAGTCGAAGGAAGTGAGGGAAGTCGAGTAGCGCTTGTATCTGTGTAATGAAGTTAAGCAACAGGTGTGGCTGGTAGATCCTACCCTTTCTTCCCTACCAAGGCTGTGTGTAAAAGTGAGTCAATTTTGTGTGTACAACTGAGTCAATTTTGTGTGCGCAAGTGAGTCGCCGACCTCAAAGGGGATCAAAATACTTCAGAATTTTCCGTGTAGCGGGGAAATGAACTGTGTCTCCCAATTTTCCTAGATATTTGGATATTGTGTACTGTGTCTCCCAATTTGTTGGACACACCTAAGGTAAGTAAGGTGGATCTCCTGTCAGTTACAGCATCTGGAAATATGGCCTGGCTTTTCCAATCGTTACTTTGGTGTCCAGAATCGTGAAACAAATTGGTGGCAAAACCGATGACTAAAGTCCGCCTCCAGATTTTAGAGTCTGTAGATTCTTGGTGCATCTGGAACCCCAAACTGGTTGGTTCCCCAGGCTGTATGAGAAGTCATGGAGAGTACTGCATTTATCTCTGGAAGTGGCACTTGCAAAATCACTCACATGTGCATCCCCTAACAAAGGTTACATACCCTTCGGCAATAAAACATGGCAAGTTGGAAAATACTCAAACTAATGACGATTTATAGCTGGGAAAATAATCAATCAAACTATATAAGTGTCTTATTTTTTTTGAGAATACCGAAGGGTATGCATATCTCTTGATCCTCAAACAAAAACATCTCTGTACTTCATATTATTTTAACTTGTTTAATATAATTGCACTATATATATATATCTACACACATCATACTTGTATACATCATACAGATAGATAGATAGATAGATAGATAAGATAGATAAGATTAGATTAGATTAGATTAGATAGATAGATAGATAAGATAAGATAAGATAAGATAAGATAAGATAGATAGATAGATAGATAGATTAGATTAGATTAGATTAGATTAGATTAGATTAGATTAGATAGATAGATAGATAGATAAGATAAGATAAGATAAGATAAGATTAGATAGATAGATAGATAAATAAGATACGATAAGATAAGATTAGATAGATAGATAGATAGATAGATAAGATAAGATTAGATTAGATTAGATTAGATAGATAGATAGATAAGATAAGATAAGATAAGATTAGATTAGATTAGATAGATAGATAGATAAGATAAGATAAGATAAGATTAGATTAGATAGATAGATAGATAGATAGATAAGATTAGATTAGATTAGATTAGATTAGATAGATAGATAGATAGATAAGATAAGATAAGATTAGATTAGATTAGATAGATAGATAGATAAGATAAGATAAGATTAGATTAGATTAGATTAGATAGATAGATAAGATAAGATAAGATAAGATTAGATTAGATTAGATAGATAGATAGATAGATAAGATAAGATAAGATAAGATAAGATAAGATAGATAGATAGATAGATAGATAAGATAAGATAAGATAAGATAAGATAAGATAATATAAGATAAGATAGATAGATAGATAGATAGATGGATGACAGCATTCACCAGCGCCAGCCATGTCTTTGTCCCTTGAAGCCGGCCCTTGTCGATTTTCGAAGCGTTCCAGGTACATGGCCAGATATAGCGAGATCCCGAGTACGGCCTCGGTCCGGGGACCAAGCCCTCGGCGACTTATGATGAAACGTGTATAGATAGCAAGCAAAAAAGTTGGAACAGTCATTGACTACTGAACTAGGGATATAAATGATGGTGTAACTATATATGATGGTTATATTGGGTAACTATAAATGATACAGTAACTGACTTTTCTATCTTTTTTTTTGGGTTACTTACTATGATGGTGTTAATATTGGGTCAACCGCACTGTTGGATGCCCTTGGATATACATCTGAAGCTGATCTGCTCAAAGCTGAACTATGGAAAACCACCATTTTTAATGGGAAAATTCCACTATTTCGACTGGGCCATTTTCAATAGCTATGTTAAATTACCAGAGGGTAATCTAAATCTTCATCCACTCTACTTCCAATTTAGTCTAAGTCTAGTCTAATCTGATGTAATCTAATCCATCCTAAGCTAATCTGATCTACTGTAATCCAATCGCGATGCACATGTCTGAAATATTTCTGAAATTACAATACGCGACACACTCACACATCTCCCCACCAAGAGGACTTGACATTTCCCCTGCCATGTACCGGATCCAAAAAAGGATTATCAATTTGAAATTCAAAGACATCTTATTTTAACTTTTCTATTTCTTACCGGGTTCCGGGTTCCGGGTTCCGGTAGTTTTCAGCTCAATACTTCCAGCTCCTCCCAAGACTTTCAAGCCGAGGTGGCGGACTTCTTCCAACTGAGCAAGACCCCCGTCTTGGAGCATCCTACCATGAAGGTGCTGACAGATCGCGTGCGTGGCAAGCTGAAGCACTGGCAGGTTGGGCAGATGACTGACTTTGACCCTTCCAGTGAGAGATGAAGGGCTCTTGGCTTTAAGTTGGTTTGTCAACCAAAATGGCTGTGTCACCGGAAAGTCATGTTCAAAAACCATGATATTTTTGTGGCGTAGCTTATTGTCAGACAGGTCCTGGGTCCAGAACGCAATCCGCATGAAGCAGCTGAGGCAGGGGGGTGACTTTGCGGCTGATTCCGCTTTGAATTTAGCCCTTGAAAAACCATGAAAAAAAAATGGAACTTCCAATCAAACATGAGGTGCCGGAAATGATTTCATGAGCAAGTTCCATGATTTCCTAAAGAAAGCCGGGGTGGAAACATCTTCATACATGTTGAGCTTTGTTTACTACCAGACCTCTAACATGTTTTTTTCAAGCTTGGTTCTAAACAGTCTGCGATTCGCTGCTACACTCAAGAAACCTTAGATAACCGACCTGTTATCCGACCAACGGCATGGGTCCACTGGTTCTCCCTGGCAGATGATGCGTGGATTGCAAACCTTAGCAGCTGCCTGTGAGAGGTTCCTGGAGTCGCAGGATGGTGTGAACATCAACCAAATTTTGGGCCATTGGAAGAAAGAAACTGCTTTGTTTGGGCAACTTTTGCTCTTTTTTCCCATTTCCAGCATGTCTTCTGCGTTTTGGCGGGTTTCAACTCTTCTGGAATCATCTTTCCCCATCCAGCTATGAGGCTTCCCAGTTATAGCGAGTACAGCGCCACCAGCAGCAGCAAGGCTGGGGATGATGGGTGAATTGTTGGCTTTAAAATATAGAGATGGGGATTGGACTCAGCGAAGAAAACAGTTTTTCTGCAGGGTATCTATCGGTTGTTGGAAATGTAGCCATTTTGGTGTTTTTCCAAAGTGGCAGACTCTGCAAACAACCGGAATCCTTACAAGACATGACTCATGTTACATGGTTTTAGGGTCACCAATTTTGCGTGAACCCACCATTTTCTGTTTATGTCGTAAGGATGCGTTTGAAGGATCCCTGAGCCGCCTGAGCCATAAACTACACTTGGGGTTCCAACCAAAAAAGTGGCAGGGGCAAACTGCTACTTTGAAGATCTGGATCCGATTAAAGCACCCACTGGGGTTCCAAGCTCGGGTTGACATTGCCTGCAAAATACTGGCTGCTCCACCAGCGCTTGGAATCGCTGCCTGTCCAGGTGCACGAGCGTCTTTTTGGCTACTCCCAAGTGGTGCCCAGGGGGAACAGGACCAGAGAGTAGGCTGAGTTTTGGACCACGTCCAGGTGTCAGCTCTGTTGGAAAGACGTTTTTTTCCATGATTTTTCCTGTTGATCATGATGACTTCACCGGCATTCTTTGGAATTTGGGCTGCCTTCCCAAGCAACCAACCCTCCAATATTTGCAGCCCCTTCCCCACTTTGTACTGGTCGAATTGTGGTAAATAACCCTGGTGAAGAATTGATTGTTGGGATATCCCACTTGCACGCCACTTTCCAGTTGGATCACGCAATCAGTGGCTGAGAAGACCAGACCTGCAGGACCCTGAAGTCTGTTCCCAAGTTGAGAAGGACACCTCTTTCCAGGCGATTTGAGCGGGAAAAGTGAGGTTCCCCAAGTCTTTTTTTGGGAAGCACACACAGGTGGAATTCTGCTGGACCTTAGGGATTGAAGCCTTACCTTCTCAACAGATTTGGAACCCATGCCTGAGTTCTGGGTTATACACAGGTGGGCTGGGAACCTTCACGATTCTCAGTTCAAAAAAGTGGATACATACCCCGATGACTGGAGGCTTAATACACTGACAACTGGACCAAATCTTCTAGTCCCTTGGCATTAAATTTTGATCTGTAAATCTGATCATTTGGAAGTGACGAAGATGATCTTCTAGGGCACTTTTTGGGCACAAAACTGTCAGCAGGGAGACTCACCACGGGATCTGAAAGGATTTGCCCAAAAATTGGGTACCCAACATCCAGTAGTTAATCATCACCTCATCCCTTCATCACTTTCCTCCAAAAAAACCGACATGATACGCTCATCCCCCTGGCAGTTCAGCGCCGATTCTACTGCGACCTCTTCTGGTTCTCCAAGCTGCAGTTTTATCGCTGAGTGGGTGTGTGCACTCCTTGATGCAGATATTGGAAACATGGGGACTCACCCAAGTTATGGCCATCAATGGGAAAAATGATGAGACACCATTGCTTTTTTTTAATGTTACACTGCACATTTTATGGATCATTCTTTGGGCAAACGCAAATTCTAATGTTTATTTTCATTTGCCCCGTTGTAAAAAGTCAATTACAGGATGGATGACCATAAACCACAAAAACAATGTCTTGACCCTAGCGCACATGGTGATCTACCTACCAAATCGTGATTTACCTGAGGATTTTGGAATATTTCATAGGATATCAATGAAATAGAACACACATAATTTAGATGGTCTTACGGCGTTACCCTCATCGTAATTAGTGGTTTTATGGTCAAACAATTCATAGGGCCGTAGGGCCATAGGGTTAACTATCCCCACATTGCCATATCTTAGGTTGTTGAATTACTATGCTTTTTCCAGATGTAATTTCTATCTGGAAAAATCACAGGGATTGGGGTTTATAGATATATATATATATATAACCAACCATAAGTATATAGAGCTTTTTGTGGGACTAAGAGGGAATATGATTGGCAAATTAGCCAAATGTTATACGGGAATATCATTTTTGGGCATGAGTGGGATATGATAGGGATTTGATTTGTCACGATCAGATGCTTAGTTTCATATCACTCGTGGGGGTTTGTCGAAAAATGGGATGCCATTTTGAAGCCGAGCAAGAAGGCAAAGATTGGGCAGGCTGGGTAGCTGGTGGTCTCAGCACTCAGGCCGGTTTTCTGATAGATTGAGTCAGGTTCTTCTACAGTGCAGAGGACCAGTTGCCCTATGGGTGTGGCGTAGCTTGCAAAGTCTGGACACCAGACGTTGACAACTTGATTTGGAGGTTCGACTCCTCCCTGGTCCGCTTTATCATCTTCATCCAGTGCTGCATATCGTCCACATGGGATATTGCCTAATGAACATGATTTATAGCCACAATGCATAGCCACCTTCAGTGCTGCCGCGCTGGAGAAAAACGGAAACTGTGAAGGGCAGAAGGTGAATTTGCGACTGGAAAGTCGCAGAAGCTTTGCGTGATCCAAATGTGGATGAGTAGATACCTATGGAACCATCGACATATGGGAATGCATGCATATTCACCAGGTATTTTGACATTGTCTACGACACCAGGATTTTGACCGATACCCAAACTCCGAATCGAATGGTGACTTCAGTGGCAGCAGAGGCAAATTTCTAATTCCACACTGCTCTGCAGACAGGACATGTTTATATCATACAACATCTATCGATTGTTGAGGTTCTCAGGTCACGCACGCATTCGTAACTGTACTATCTATATCTATATCTACATAGGCAAGCCTCGGAGGGAGATTTTGGGGATGAACATCCTGCCCAGCCAGCCGATCAAAACCACTCCCGAGAGCTGATTTCTCATCTGGGAGCCATGGTGATGGGTCAACATCCCCAACACAGAACCCCCTAAGAATGCGCCACGTTCACCTTCTGAGGATCCTGCAGAACTGGAGGCCATTTCAAGGCCCATCGGAGTTAGGGATGAAAACTATCATGGCAGGGAGACCAGACTCTAGGCACGCGGATTCTGTGAAAAGTGCAGAGCAAAAATCATGGCTCAGGAAGACGTGAATCTTTTGAATGCTAACAGTACTGTGTTGGTGTTGTTGTTGTTGTTGTCGTCCAAATACCAGGATCACGAATGCAACCAATATTGGATGGCCAAGTCTCCAAGTCATCCAATGATGCCCACAAGAATAGGTTCTACATCCTATTATTATCTACCATACTATTTGCCACATCTACATACCCAGTCCCAGTCAGGCCCGGTGGCACTGCAGTGCAGTTGAACGACTGCGTGGGGTCACCCAGTCGGGGTGGCGGAACTTGTGAGGCGATGAGAGAGAGTAACTTGGGACCAGTAAACAGCTGGCGATATCCAGTGAACCGTTCGATTGTATTCGATTTTGATGGTGAAATCTAAGTGAAATTTGACAGCTGTAATTTCTTCAACACAATGATGATATTTAATTCAAGGTACCCAATGTTTTGTCTTTTCTTTTCAACAGGAATACCATAAAATTCTTAAACTGAACTGGCCATGGCTTTGCACCCTCTGGGGAATTTCTCTTGAAGACTATCACGTAGGGTTGGAGCCATACCTCCAAATTCTCGTCGACGATACATTTGTAAATGCTTTATTCGACATTTAGCTAATTATGAGATATGATATTATATAGATATGGACCTGGATATATGTATATATAATTGTATATATATATACATAGAAATACACACATTGGTAAATAATTGGATGATAAAAATCATATCCATAGCTAATATACCATACATAGCCGACATGTTTCCTGCAGATCCCGGGTCAACTCGGAAGGAACCGCTGCAGCGCATGAAGAACATCGCCCGCTCATCGCAGTCGCAGGTTCTTTGGTTGCGATGACTTGGCGGTGAATATTTGTGGGTTCCGATTCCACGAATAAGTGATATGGGTATGGATCAATACCTATGAAAATACCATTTTTAGGGGGATGAACATCCATTTTAACCCAGCTATTTTGATGTGAACTACAGGGGTACTATTGGTTTTGACACACTGCCATATTTATATAAACCATAGTTACCCTCTGGTATACATACAAAAAACTATGGAAAAAACTATGGAAAGATCCACCATTTTCAATGGGTAAATCCACGAACTAAATCACCATTTTCAATACCTTTTTGTATGTTTACCAGCGGGTATAGTGCGCATATCCCCACATATGTAGGTTATTACCATGGTGCACATTGATATCCTTAACTGCACCTCCAGTATGGCTTTTCCGGCGGATGAAACCCTGGTTTTTCGGAGGTTTTAAGTGCCGTCCGTCAAGTTGCGAGCGACCATCCTGGGTGAACTTTGAGCATTCCATGTCCGACCCACTGATCCAATGATTTCTGAGACCAGACCTTTGTTTTTTTCCAGGTGCATGGCACCCCCCGACTACCAGCCAGGTGCAAATGTCCATGGGCCCCACTGATTGGAGTACCACCTCCAGGGAAGCTTGACGAATATCGGAGCAGGGCTAGACCCAGCTTCGGGTTTGGAAGGTTCTTGGGATATGATAAAAACAACTTGAGACCAAACAAATCCAAGTTAGAAAGAGCAAGAAAGACAGATGGACTCTGAGGATCATTCCAACCCAACACTGGGACTTTCAGTTCAGTTTTCCAGTCATCTCGACTGTTAAGCTGGGAAGAATGATGATGATGGTGATGATGATGATGATGATGATGATGAAGATGACGATGACGACTAAGTGACTAGCATTTTGACCACCATTTTCAATGCAGCGGTCATTATCAATATTTTCATTCTGATCATCATGATGTATGGTCTTATCATTATTGCCACCCTTTTCCAACCCAACTAGAAAGCGATGGCACCACACAACCGAGGACATGGCCAAAGATTATGCTTCTTGAGGCGAGTGTCTCACAAGGCAAGTGGTGCTTGGCAGCACTTTCCTCAACAGGGAAGCAAGAAGGAACCTGCAAGCATGTCTCAAGTTCGAGTCACTGTCAATGCTTCGTTGTTATCACCATGACCATCACCATTCTCACCATCACTGGATCCATGATTGGGAAGGTCCATTTTTTTTCGGGAAAATCTAAGATAAACAGGAACGACAGATTTAAACCCTTGGTTTGGGGTTGACATGGACTCAGATAAATCTCATCACCATCATCGCAATAGTAAACAAAATCTCATTCTTTAAACGATCATCACCATTTGATCAATCCTTAGAATCACCTTACCTCATTTGTCACCGTTGCGTCAAGCCGTCAGGCCATGCTTGCCTTCCGCGGGCCCGTTTCACCGCATCTTCTGTAGCCCGGTGATCTATCTCATCAGATCCATGTACTCAGGCACTTGTACTCCTAAATAGGAGGGTCTGATGAGTACAAGTACCTTATCTTCTATCTCATCGTGGATGGATATTATAAGTACCCCTAAATAGGAGGGTTTGATAGTGAAAACACGTAAAGCACCTGTATCTCCAGGAGTTGCCACTCAGGGTCCGGTGACAATGTCAGGAGGGGTCCTCAAAGAGGAACCCTTCGCTGTCAACGGCTTTCGACTAATTTTAGATATGTCCAAAAAGTGTCCTCCCTTTTCTGGGTGCTGCATTGACTCGATTCAATATGTTGTTGGCATTTTTTGGATTTGTTTCTAGCCAACTTTTCATCATGGGCTCTTGGTAAATTGCGCACACCGAGCTGCTGTAGAGCGAGTGCTGGAAGCCTCTATATTATAGATACTGCGTGTGTGAGAGAAGAACTGACACGAAGCATTTCGGCTAATTTAATAGTGAAGACACGTGAAAAATGCAAATGCTTGCTATTTATCCTGGACGTTGTAGAGGCCAGAAGGAATATATAATTGAGTGGAGAAATGCAGACTGTTGTGGTTTCTTAAGTTCCATATGTTTGTAATGCTCTGTCTACGATTTGCAATTCAAAAACTTGTCAGCAAGGGCAGTCATGCCAGATTGTCAGAGCCTACAAACTGATTCCTTTGTCGCGTGCTTTTTCAATATTTTTTCCACTTCAGAAACCTACCATATGTTGGGAAGCAGATTCTTGCCCCTGACCCTAGCAGCATTTGAAAGACAATCACATGATCATAGCAACAATCAGCCGACTTCTTAGCCATGTTCACATCGTTTTTTTCAATTCCATTTGGAACCTCCATTTTCTCGCCATGCCAAAGGCTCTGGGGGAGCTGGCAGGGCGCGGGGTTCCCGCAATGTATAGAAGGAAATTCCAAACATCCAAACCATTGGGATGTTCCAGCTTGACTCCTCCCAAGTCACGGAAAACGCATAGACTCAACTCATTTGGAAAACGTTGGAATTTGCAAACAGCGACACCCAAGTGCAGTGGGATCTGCTGCTCAAGTCAGTAGTGGCTGTTCGAGATGCATGTCTTCAGGTTTCTTTCATTTTGGTTTTCAGTTATCTCAGTTATCTCCTTGATCTGACCATCTCTGACGCAGAAATGCGCTGACACACCCTGGGGGTGGCATCCCCGGGCCCTGTGACCGGCGACCGAATACCGCCCTCCTGGACAGGTGTGGGCTTCGGCCTTCTCCGCCAGGTGCAGAGAAATTGGTGGGAGATTTTGGCGCAGGTTGTGCTGAAAAGGGCGAGACCCAAAAAAAACTGGGGAACAGTGGCACTTCCCTTTACATAGTGCTTGGAAGTCCGAGAATCTGAACCTTCGAGATGATTTAGATAGTGATCCAAAAGAGCATCTGTTTGTTGCACTCCTCGTTCCCATCTCTTGAACTCAAAGCCCAGTTTCCCTCAGAAGTGTCAATGGTGTCTGAAGAGACAACATTCACTCGTGCCCTTGGACGAATAATTCTCAGCTGCTCCGTCGTAATCGGCATTGTCAAACAAAAAGCAACTCAATCCCAACCTGGCCGGTCAAGAGATAAGGACAAATCGATGGAGCACTGAATTGCTCCCAATCAAGAGCCTTTGGATCGTATAGCGACAGTGGTTTGGATGGCGATTTCTTCCGATGTGTCCAAAATCAGAATGCCATATACACTAAAGCGTTTTCAATGCTATCCTATCATTTCTATCTTCCACCAGCTTCGGCACTGGAACGTCCATTTTTTTTTGCCTTTTCTATATTTCCCAACCAGATCATCGACCCTTAGGGACATGGCAAGCGCAAGTTTTCAGAAGCGCTGCGTTCGAGTGTGCTGCTTCCTGTGGCTTGTGGACATCCAGCTGCATACGCCTTCATGTGGCTTTGGTAGGACACGTCAGCAGCCTCTCTCGGAGCTGCGCGAACGCACAGGTCTTGCAATCCGAGTAAGCGCCACAGGGGCGGATGGCCCTGTACTATCAAAGGAAGAGAGGAAACTTTTGCGGCAAATAGCCATAGCAGGTGAGAAGCGAGACTGGCCATCTGCCGAATCCTACTTTGGCACATATGCAGGCAGTGGCACACAAATTTACGGAGCTGCCATGCATGCAGCGTTTAGATGTCGGGAGTACAAGAAGGGAGCCAAAGTTTATGATCAGTGCCGGCAAAATTGTGAAATCGTTAGCCAGCCAATTTTTAATCTCGGCATACGCATCTTTGCAAAACTGGGAGACACTACCCGAGTGCAGCAGATTTGGGACGATGCACTAAAGGCATATCCGTTGGATGACATCCTAGCATCAGCTCGGATTTCTGCAGCTGCTGAAGCTGGAAATGTGACAATGGCGGCTGAAACGTTGGACAAAATGAAAGATTGCAATGTCTCCGTTCAAACACATCATGTCAACTCTGCTATGCGAGCATGTTGGGGGTGGAACGACAGACCGCACAAAGCTGCGAAATATTTGTTTGACCTTCTGCCCAAATTTGAGCTGTCTCCAACTGTTGTTTCATTCACAGCTTTGATCGGAACTTATAACACTGCTAGTTTGCATAAGATATTGTCAGCATATGATGAGATGAAGGCTCTGCACATCAAGCCGGATACTGTTTTTGCAGAGACTTACATATTTTCCCTGTTGCAGGCAGACAAGAAGGTCCATCTCCGTGCGAGTGGTACAGAGCTCCTGCGTGATAATTCCATTGATCGTTTACAAGCTGCTCGGGATGCTCTAACTGAATTCAAAGAAGCGGGCCTGCATTTGTCCAGAGTGTGCGCCAAGGTTGACAGAGCACTAAAGAGCACGGGCTTTTAGAAGGTAGGGCCAGAGCAAAAGGTAGTTCTGACAGCTGGTGGCGGAGTGTAAAAGAGCTGGCGGAAATCCAACGGTTTGGATGCGGCCTGGGACATCACACCAACTAGTCTTTTTGCTACATAGGTTACATGGTCTGCATGAAGGTGTCAGCCAATTGATTGCAGAAATGTAAGGCCAGGTTCACCTGGCTCAATAGAACGGCATTTCAGGCATTTCCAAATTGTGTCTTTTGTTTGTCGTTTCTTCAGCTAAAACAACTTCAGAACTTGAAGAGAAACTGGGCCAAATCAAACTACTATAGCAAGTCGCAAATTTTTAACAACATAAAGCTGCAGTATAGGGTTCCCTTCACAGCAAACCTCCTTCGCCTGTTCGACATTTGCCAATTCGAGGCAATTTGCCTCTTACATCCTCTTGCTGTAAAAAAGATGGCCAGCACGGCATTGCAGAAACGCTGCATTCGAGTGTGCTGCTTCCTCTGGCTTGTGGACATCCAGCTGCATATGCCTTCATGTGGCTTTGCGAGGACACGTCAGCAGCCTCTCTCGGAGCTGCGCGAACGCACTGGCCATGCACTCCGAAGAAGTGCAAGAGGGACAGATGGTCTTGCAAGCCCCCTCAGTCCCGACGAAAAACTACTAGTAATGCATATAGCTACTGCAAGCGAGGACAGGAACTGGACTGCTGCTAAGGAGTTCTTTGGAACGTATGCTGGCAGTGCGACGCAAGTCTATGCAGCTACAATGCATGCCGCGCTGAGATGCCGCGAGTATAGGGCGGGAGCAAAGATCTTTGAACAGTGCCAGGCCAATTGCAAATTTATTGGCGAGGCTGCATATACTGCCGCTCTTCGTATTTTTGCCAAACTGGGAGATGCGACTCGGGTGCAGCAAATTTGGGATGATGCATTGAACAGACTTAAGTTGAGTGAATTCCTCGGATCGGCTCGGATTGTTGCAGCTGCGGAAGCAGGAGATGTTGAAGCAGCTGCTGACACCTTGGACAAGTTGAATTCTACCAATGTCTCCGTTCAAACACATCATGTCAACTCTGCTATGCGAGCATGTTGGGGGTGGAACGACAGACAGCACAAAGCTGCGAAATACTTTTTTGACCTTCTGCCCAAATTTGGGCTGTCTCCAACTGTTGTTTCATTCACATGTTTGATTGGAGCTTACCAGACAGCGAGTTTGTCGCAGATATTGCTGGCATATAATGAGATGAAAGCTTTCCAAGTTGAGCCAGACACTGTTTTTGCAGAGACTTACATTTTTTCAGTGTTGCAGGTAGATCGTACGGAACGTGGGCGCTTTCAAAAGAACCTGCAAGAGAAATCCATCAATCGTTTACGAGCCGCTCGAGATGCTCTAACTGAATTCAAAGTTGCCGGACTGCGTCTGTCTAGAGCGTGCACTAGGGTTGATAGGGAATTGACACGCCTTGGTCTCTAGCAGATGAGGCAAAAAATGGATGCCCGATTTGCCTTTGCGTAGCTCGTTGAAACACAAAGAAGACTTCCAGGAAAATGGACGTTAACTTCTGCAACAGCTTAGACCAAAAAACGCAGCACCAGGCAGCTTGCATGTGATGTCAAGCTGTTATGGTGTAGATTTGAGACTCCAACATTCCCCAGACATCTACATCATTTGCATCATCTACATCATGACGTCTCACATCATGATGACGTCGCAAGGTAACCCTGCAAGATTCACTCAGCGGCAACCGACCAAGTCCTCGGTCACCCCTGCCAGGCGGCGCTTTTCTCGAGGTTTGCTTCTATGTCAGGCCTGGCTAGGGGTCATGCAATCTGCCTGTGGGCCTGCAAAATGGCTGTCAAGATGTAGCTGTGGTGCAATCTATGTCTGGCTGGTGAGATTTGATTGTTTTGGGGAAAGGACTGTCGAATCTTAATTGTATGGAATCCACCACTAGATATCTAGTCTAGTAATTTGACAATTGGCTCAGTTGTCAAAAAGAAAGTAGCAACACCCAGCGCTTTCCTTTGAGGAAGTGAAACACATTTTCCAGCCCTTCAGCTGCAGGTTCTGCTGGCGATCTTGCTGGCGACATGGCTGCGGAACCCAGCTTTCAGGATGCCAACACCAACCTCCTGGAAACACAGGCCAATAGTGTTGGATTATTGATGTGGTGAATATTCACACTTCCAAATTATTATGATTTAGATTGATTTAGTTTGATTTAAGATAAATGTGGCATCGACCAGCTTTTTTGATTTTAAAGACAACTGGTGTGGGGGATAACACAGGTTGGACAGTTTGCAGACTTGGGCAGCAAGACATCTTGCATATATAATTCAGTTGAGCACTTTGGCAAACCCATGTAGTGGGAGCCGTTTGTAGAAAGATGCAGGCAGCTTGTGTTCAGTGTGGGTTTTCGCAACCTCTATGGGCGAATGAAATCACCCAGCTTTTTCTGCTAGTCTGGTACTTCAACTAACTATCCGGTGTTTAGGAGGGGAGCTCAGGAGCTATGGGGTGAGCGCAGGAGCTATGGGTATCCATCTTCCCTGTTCAATTATCAATTTAGTTCCCCAAGCCTATGAAAAATCATCTGATTCTATATGTGTCAGTGTCACATTCAAAGATGGATGATACACACATATTTGATGGTCATCAATGCATTAGATTCCAATACATCCCAGACTTGATAGATCTTGATCGGCTCCGAGGAGATTTTCCGCTTTCGCAGCGCCAAAGGTTGGTGAAAAGGTGGGGGGCCCAAGTGGATGGTGGAGAGCCCCACGAAACGAATGGTGGAGAGGGCGTCTTAATGTCCCAGGATTCATAGGGTCCCCGGTTTGTTGATTTAGGGGGGTCACCAAAATAGTGATGAGTCCAAGAGAGTCCATTAAAAAATCACCAAGTGAATCCTGGTTAATCCTGGTTTGACAGATGACAGCATGAATGACGAATTTTGTTATCAATTTTGGACCACCTCTGAGGAAAGGGTCGGGTTGGAGCCTTGTTTCACCTCATTTCAGCCGACAAGTTTCTTCTTTTTCTACTTTGCAGCTTGCTGCACTGCCAAATAGGAGCAACTCAGATTTGCATCATACTGGTAGGTAGGAGCTGAATAACATATAGAACCGGCACAAGGGAATGCACCCCCAGAGGTGAATGGCGTTCATTTCTCCACTTGATGATAGTGTCACGGGCTGTTCCCATAACTAGTGCCTCGTCGAGTCTCTGTCTTGGGCAGCTTACTTCCTGACTTCTTCGCATAGCCAATCTCCAATTTCTCATTGATCAAATCTGTGCTTCTAATCTCTATGTCACAAAGTTTTCTTAAGACACATCCACTCTTTCATGGGTGTCATGTGTTGGTGAACCTCCCCATTTTGATTTGTGGAATCCAAACTTTCGTCATTGCATTTCCCACAGTAAAATAATATATATATATATTATATGTATACATATATACATATATATATATATTTGATGTTTAGGGTTTCCCGTGCGTAGGTTTTTTATAGGGAGTGAGCTGTCTCAACCTTAGAGTAGGGCTCAAGCTAGGGTAGCACAGCAGTAGCCTAGGAGGGCTACAACGGCCCCGGGGTTGGGTGCGCCATGAGTGTACGGCGCCTTTTGCTACTCGCTGTCTGCGTCTGCGATTCTGTTTCCCACCTGGCCACTACATGGGGTATTGGCCTATTGGGGACCGCTGAAAAAGACACGACCTGCCGTCCGCAGGGTGCGGCGCGCGCAGCGATCGGTCCGACACGGAACCGACCAAAGCTAGTGGGACCCGTGGTGCGTCTTCGGTTTGGGACCCCGAGGGGGCGAGAGCAAGGGCACCCAACAAAGGGATTTTGCCTGGCCGTTCGGGCTGTCGTGGTTGGCCAAAATCAACCTTCGCTTGATAGCGGATGCTACCGCGTTCGGGCTCGAATACTGTGGGACGCTATGCGCATCAATTGGCCTTGCAGCCAAATGGTCCTACTGGTTGGCCACGGGGGCCATCGTTCTCTTCATGATTCAATTAACGGTTTGGACCCTCAACTGGATCATCTGTCCCTTGGGCAAGCACGCCTGGGCCCTTTGGAAGTATCTATGGGGCTATGGGCAATGGCATGAGGTCGCCCATTCATGGCATGACCCACATGACTTGCTGGTCACTGATGGAGTCGCCATTGCCCGGTTGAGGCACGGCACCCTAAGAGGACGGACGAACCGGTTTGGGTTCAAAACTGAATGCGAAACAGTGCGCTCGGCCTCCCACCGGTATTTCCGGCACCAGTTAGAAAGCTACAACTGCCGGGTTCACCTTTGTGCTGGAACGCCCTGCGCGCAACCAGGTCTGGACTGCCTGCATGTGACATCAGCTTTCATCCCCCATGAAGCGGACCTGGATCTTCAGGACGCTGTCGGGAGGGGACCGGTTGCCCGCTGTGCGGTAGCTACTTGGTTTTGGGGCTATACCGGATGTGGGCTTCTTCAAAGGGGCTTAAGGTGGGTCAAAGCCACCTTGGCGTGCCTGTGCTGCTCCAGTTGCTGCCGCCCGAGGAGAAAACCGAAGTAGCCGGAATCCGCCTTCGAGCGAGGCCTCTACCGTCATCCCCTTGCAGGAGTCGTCGCAGGAACTGATCAAGCACCTGGGCTGTCAGCAGCTGTGCTTGACGGAGCCCCGGCGTCGAGCGCGAAACGCGCCTCGTCTCCGAGCTCCTGCAACCTCGGTTTGGGCTTCGCCCTCTTCGCTGGTGGCCCTCCAGGCACCGGCGAGGGCGACGCCATTCGAGCGGCCGCATGCTTCCCTTCGGCTGGTCGGGCGGCGGGTCTGCGCTCCTCCTTCTCACGACTGCTGTGCATCTTGCAGAGGCGAAGGCCGTTCCGGCTGACCCTGCACCTCTTGGTCGCATCCTTCAATGGCACACGTCCGCTTCAGGCCCTGCCCCTCATATAGACGGCCCTGTGATGATTGCAGGCTTGGAAATAGCACCGCCCGTCATCATGTCTCAAGTCGTCCTGGGAGCTGATCTCTGCATCGCTAGCCAAGAGCCTCACTGATCTTTTCTCCCCGCGCTGAATCCTTGCAGGGCCGTGCCAACGGCCTTGCAACAAGAAAGCTACCGCCTCGGCTTGACATAAGGCCTCATCTTCTGCTTCTGATTCAGTCTCAGAGTGCTCTTCCAGTCTTGTGTCGCTGGTGAAAAGGGGGTGGGGAAACTTGGGAAGATTGAAAGAGCAGGCCACCCTCTATGTGACCAAGCTACCCAAGGAATATCCACCCAGGGCCCGGTGCGGCGTTGTCTGGCTGGTCACTGAAGAATACCCTCTGTCCGACGCGGCCGTCTTTGGAGAAGACCCTGTCCTTAGCCCAGCAGCTGGAGCCAGAAGGCACGGCGACACCAGCGCCTCTGCTTTCTCCCAGAGAAGCCCCCCCCAATACAATGCCCCATCAGCGCCCAGCCAGACCCTGAGCGCTGAAGCCTTGTACCGACCAGTGGAGGAACTTCTATGGGCATGCCGGCAGGGGCCACACGGTGCAGTTTGCCGCTGCCGCCCGCCCGAGACATGCTGGCGCCTACACGGATGCCGAACCCGCCGCCCTGGATGAGACCGCCAAAGCCCTTCAGGCAATTGCCAAGGCAGTCACCAGCAAAGATGAGGCTGCAGCCCACGAGAAGGGGAAGGTCTCCTCCATTGGGAAAACCGAGGAGCGGATCGTCTACCTGGTGAGGGGTTGTGACGCCCTGACGGTGCCTGTCGGGACGGCCACGGTCGGAAAAGAACTTTTTCACGCCCTCCGCGCCACCGCCACACTTGCAAAAAAGATGATCAATGCAGATCTTACACCTAATTAAGTCGGCTTGGCAGGAGGGGGGAGGCGCCTGCTAAGTCAGGCAACTGAGGAACGACCATGAACGACTTCAACCCCTGTTTGAGTCTTTGCGCGCGAAAAGGATGTGCGCTTGGGCGAGTGGCTCCGAGCAATGAAAACTTTTGACGTTTAGGGTTTCCCGTGCGTAGGGTTTTTATAGGGAGTGAGCTGTCTCAACCTTAGAGTAGGGCTCAAGCTAGGGTAGCACAGCAGTAGCTTAGGAGGGCTACAACGGCCCACCCTCCCACCCCCGGCGCCTGCTAAGTCAGGCAACTGAGCAACGACCTCAACCCCTGTTTGAGTCTTTGCGCGCAAAAGGATGTGCGCTTGGGCGAGCGGCTCTGAGCAATGAAAACACATAATAATGGGGTGGTCAAATCACTAGTGGCATCGCCATTTTTGTTGGCGAACAGGCCCTTCAAATCACAACTTTAGGTAATCAACACCCCTAAAATTGTTGGCTAAAGCTTAGTTTGGTCAGCGAACAAACCATTGTTTTGTTGATGAGATCACAACTCCGAAATTCATTTTTCTTGTGGGTCCTGACATCATGTTTGATGTTTCAGGTCATCCAGGCCGTCAAAACAGATCCAGTACTCCAACGGGGGGAGGCCTGGGGACGACTGGGGATGGATTTATAAAGCACCAGTTTACCAATGGGGATACCAATTTTACGAACTAGAATGATGCGGAGTTATATGAAAGTACTTGTGCCACGATGTTGGGAAACTCCCCCTATTGGTAAAGTGAAGTCTTATGAATCCTAGATGGACCTTACTGCTGAATAAATCACACCAGGGATCTTTTTGGAACGTTACTACGGGGGGGGAATTCATAACTTTAAAAATTGGTTATGTGGTTTTGAACAATGGTTGTTATAAATTGAACCTTTTAAAAATTACCTAATGGTTTTAAAATTGGTTATGGTTATTCATAACCTCAGAACATTTGAACGTTTATTTTTTTGGGGTTTACTGTGACTGGGATGTGATGGACAATAGTGGGACCCACGTCAGTCTCATCCGAGTGGACGGACCGGAAAAGAACGGCCTGGCAGATAAGATGGCCGGGTCTGTCCAAAGTTAGCGGAGCCTTGGGCTATTTATGAAGGTAAACAACTTGTAAACAGCGATGTCATGCTTGGACAAATCCTTCTTCTTGCGTGAGCCAACGTCAAGATGGCCTTCAGGAAAAAGAAACGACACTTCTTGATGAATCATATTGATTAAAAACCTTTGACATTTGTAAATTCCCTCCTTTGTTGCTTGAACTACTGTAGAAACACATTCGGATTGCCATGTCCTCACCCTTCCGTTGTTTTTGGTTGCCACTTCGCAGGTGTTGCCTGGCAAGGCAGGGACAGCTGGGCTGACTTGTGGGGTCCAGTGCCCATCATCCTATAACCTGAGGATCATGGCGACTTGGGGCCTTGAAGTCTTTCAACTTTTCCCATGACACGCTGCCCTGTTTTCGTGGTGAATTGAGGCTTCAAGGATGGGACAACTTAGAATTTGGAAGGGACGTGCGCAAATCCTTATCCAACAACCCACAGTAAAGTCTCAGCTTGAAAAGATCCTAAGTGTTACAAGTGCTTAAAAATGGATTTGCCGCAGGTGAAGACCGTCAGGGACAATGGTCTGGTGATCCAAACCAAGAATGGCGACGGATTTGCGCACCTTGATGGCTTTAGCGTGATGGGAAGGAGGTCTGTACACCGGATCACACCAGATCTTTGACATTCTGTATACATTCTGTATTACCTTCAGTCGTTGATGGCTTCCATTGCCGGACATCTACGCTTTGATTGCTATGAGGGCCTCCAAGAAAACAGGGGCAAGTGCGTATCGGACCATCCGCTTATCTTGGGGTTAGGACCTTGCAATAAATACACCCAACCAAACCCCAAATAATGGTGAAAATGGATCCACTCATCCAATTTCCGACTAAAATGCATGATCGGCAGTATATTTGGGATGTTGAAGATAGTTGATTGTACCCCAAGTATAGTCCCAATTAATTGGAATTGGATCTGTACCTCCAAATCAACTCATGTCAACCGACACGACAGTTAACCGATGGTTAACCGATGGTTGGTGGTTAAAAACTATTATTTTTGATGCTTAAACCACCATTGTTGATGATTATCTCCCAATTGCAAGTATAATTCCATTTACAATTTCCAATTATCTTCCCAATCATAACTCCATTTCTAGTCCCAACTATATTATTCCCAATGAACTATCATTGGTTTGATTTCCTCCCATCATTTTTTCCAACGTACTAAAATCAACTGATGCTTAATACCACCCTATACTCCCACCTCTTTTGTTGCTTGGACTCTGTGAGAAATGACCGATCAATGTGGGAAACCGAATAAACCACCCACCCATATGGATTTTGATGTTTTTACCACCCAATCATAAACCCGTCCACATTTTTTCACATTTTGATGGTGTTTTTCCTGGTTTACAGCCCGAAAAACTGCTTCAACAACTCCCAGGCACATCTCCCAACTCTCGGATCGCTTCCTGGGGCACCCGGCGGAACTCTTCGACGAGCAGGACCAGGTGACGGCCCGCGTGCTGCGTGGCTTGGTGGGAGCGTTTTCCAGGCGGCTTATGGGAAGAGGGAGATGGATGAAACATGTTGGGGGTTTATGGTGGTTTATTGGGGTTTATATGGGTTTATGAATGTTGATCCTTTGATTCACCTGAAGGATCTGAAGGTGTTTATAGACCTATATGAATGTAGATCCTTTGATTAACCTGAAGGATGAAGAAGGACTTAGACATACTTAGAAGTTATGGGGTAACACAGCAATGCCAAGTTGATGGTTGTGTGATGGTGATGTCTGGGTCTATCCATCAATGTGTTTTGCAGCATGGGGGTGATTGACAAGGCAGTAGGTAGGATTGTGGGTTTCTTTTGGATCTGTTGAATGTCAATTGATTGTGTTGCAGTTGTGGATTCCAAACCTAATTATTTGTTATTTTTACGAATGCGGCTGGGACCATGCCTATATCAGGGAGGCAGCCACCGCTTAGACGCAAAAAAGGAGGGTTGGCCCCCTTTGAGTCCCACAGTCGTTGGCTTCCAGGGAAGGGAAAGGGGAAATTGTGAAAAGTGACAACATAACCTGGTTATTTAGAATGTTATTGTGCTTGTTCCCTCTTTTGTCCTCTACCCCTCTGGTCAACATAGACATGACCATAAAAGCTTCCAAAATTTGGTGAGGCTTCACCACCGCACCAAGGTCATGAGAACGGTTTCTTGGAGTTGACTCTCAGGGAGTTGGGCACCAAAAAGCTGAAGGATTTCAAGGTCAACCAGGCTCCAGCAGCGGAGATGGGCCTTGAAATTTCGGGTCACTTGTTGACCTAAATGGCACGAATGTTGATACGATTTTGGTGACGGATCCGGTTGTTTATCACCATTTTCCCTTCACAAATTGTCATAAGAATGGGGCATACCCTATTTATTGGCAAACCCACTTCTTGACAGTATTATTCCTTGAATCCTGAACTTGGTGGAATATGATCATGATCATGGCAAACATGCTGTGCTAATGTTGAACGATTCCTGTCAAGACTTTTTTTTTTCAGAGTTGCAACGCAACTCTGATCTACACGATATTTTATTGTGACTTGCAATCAAAGCTACCCTCTGGTAAACTAACATAACTATGGAAAATCACCATTTTTAATGGGAAAATCCACTATTTCTATGGTCATTTTCAATAGCTATGTCACAAATTACCAGAGGGTGCATTTTGTGTGATTTTTGCCCTTTTGTTGGAGGGATCCCCCTTTGAAAAAATTGTTGGAGTTCAATCCCCATCTTTTTGAAAAGAATCCCGACTGTGGTTACCCCGCGTAATGTCAAACCGCGAAAAAACGGGATGAACATCCCATTTGTATACCAGGTAATGAAGTTGTAGTAAGTCATTAATTCATGAAAGACTCATTTATCATCATTACTATTCACCATTAACCATGACCAAAAAGTGACCCCGAACCTGACCCATGGCTGTGTGGGCGCTGTGTGGCAGGAGTTGAATGGTACGGTGACGGCCGTCTGCGGTGCTGGCGCGGGGTCCAGGGGAAAAATTCGCTGGAAAGGAAGAGCTTGGAGGGCTTGATCTATGACGAGTCTTTTTAGTCTAAGATTCTGTTGGAAGATTGGATCAGAAATTCTAAGATTCTAAGATATCAATTGCCAAAAATGGGTATGTAATGGGTACATTATAAAGTAATATAATCATTGAAACTGGTAGTAATTTTTGGTGAGATCTTTCCAGCCAACAAAGGGGGAAGATATAACTATATAATTATAACATACTACAACCGATCATTGTTTGAATGGGTTGATTTACCAACAATCAATAGTGATAGAAGCCAAATCTTGGGTGGTTTCCAGGGTTGATGACTGGTTGGTGGTGTCGTTTTTTTTTGGTTAGTTTTTCCTGAAAATAGGATGATGATCCCGAGTATCAGGTCATTAGGGAATTGGAGATGGTTATGATGGTTATGATGGTGCATTTTTTTTGCCAAGTCACATATTTCTGTCTTGTCCATTATAAATTGTTTTATTCTTTTTTTAAAAATTGACCATCCATTTTTTGGGGCATTGCAAGAAATTGACTCATACCCGCATGGATCTGTTTTAAACTCGAAATCTTGCCATGTTAGGTCCCCTGAAATGAAGCCTAGGTGCAAACGTGGAGATCGGGGCTGAAGACACGGCCTTCCTCCACGTAAGCTGCATCCAGGACCGCTGCGGCTTGAGAGAGCTTGAAAATGAGAACGTGCCGAGAGCATGGGCAAGATTTTGGCAAGCACACATATATGTATGTATAGATGTTTATATTATCTATATTATATATAGTATATATTATATATAGTATATAACATATATATATATAATATGTGGATTTGTCCATAGAGTACACCACCATTTTGGGGTGTTCCCCATTTCCGGACAAACCCGGAATATGGCAGGGTAAGCAGATTCTCACCCAACCCACTTGCAGGGAAATTGGGCATTTGACCCTCTGCGGTCTTGGACCCTGATGTTTTTCCTGAAATCCCTCACTAGCCTTGCCACTCTTTTGTTGATTTTACTAAAAAGAAATACTTCACTCCTAGGCATTTCTTCAGGTTTCACCACCCTTCTTGGTTCTGAAACTTCCCCCGAACAAATCCATCCACTCTGGGCTTCTCGCAAGCCCTATGGGTGGCCTGACCCCACTGGGCAAGGACGACTTCCTGATGGATGCCACTTGAACCTGAATGCTCTGGGCAGGATGATGGGTCAAATCTGCCCAACAAGACCTGAGTATAGACCAGCCAGGAAACTAATCGTTTGCTATGGAAAATCACCCATTCAGTTCGATGGTTTACCTATTACTGTCATGGTGATTTTCAATAGTTATGTCATATTACCAGAGGGTATATCTACATTTTTTGTGCCTTGCCCCATTTTGTATCATTTTGTTCCATTTGTGTCGCTCAAGTCCATATTGGGTACCTAAAAATGGGATGGTTTCATGAAAGAAAACACTGGCAGGCTTGGCCCACATCAACAGGGGCTGTCTAGTCTTGTGTCCAAGCAAACTGATCCCCTCCTGTATTCCTCTGGTTTTGAACTTTTCGGAGGTTCCAATTTGGTTGCCAAGTGATTGCCCCAAACAATGTTAGACACACGTGGTTTTTATTTGTTTGGCCCCTAATGAATCGGTTTTGCCAAGTCATTTGTTATTGTCTCCCACTCATTTCAGGCCCGCGAGAGACTACAAAAAGGCGACAAAGTCAAGGCCCGGTTCGGCAAAAAGTACACAGAGTTTCCAACCGCGAGACCCTTGGAATTTGCTGAACAATTGGGTACAAAACCCCCCCAAAAGATTCCAAAGATAGATTTATCAGATGATGTTCCTATGACACGTTGAAGCTGCCATTTTCGGCAGCTGCACCTGACAGGTCTGGGTCAAAAAGATCGACCATAAAGGGATGAAGGCGCGCGATGTCGTGGCTCAAACCTGGGCAGTTGCACCAGGATCTCGGCAAAAAAACAGGATCCTGGACCCACACCAGGTTGTATAGATTTTTCATATCAACCATCCCATGTCTCCAATTTTGGAGATCCACAAGTTCCAAGGGTCAGTTTCTTTGGAGGTCACGATGCTCGAGAGCCAACGAGCGGGGACTCTCAAGAGGTCCCAAGCTGGCTGGAACAAGCACTGAATGTTCGATGATCCTCCACGATTCTCCCAGATTTTCGGACCAAACGTTTGGATTCTTAGGTTGCCACTGATTAAAATTAGCTGAGGGTCTCCCCATCCCACTGATTCCCCGAGGAAAAGAAGACCATCGCCAAAGGACTGAGGCGGGCTAGTGGGGCGATGCTCATTGTTGGATCTGCTATGTTTACTTTGAGATCATAGTTTATTGGAACAAAGTTTATTGAGACCATAGTTTATTGGAACAGCTATTGTTATTGAATTCAATTCCAATAAACTATGGTCTCAATCCCAGCCCATCTCAGGCTAGCCCGCATGGAGGAGGGAGAGATGCTCGGCGGCGAGGCGCCTTAAAGATTCAAGCTATCTGCCACAAAAACGTATCATACAACTATATTGTACGCACAAATACACAGACTGATGACCCATATACACTCGTGTATATATATATATAACATGTATATATATATATAATATGTATATAATATGTATAGATATGTCCATTTATACCCATTCATATAGATGCCCGTAGACACTTGCTTTCCCTTCAGACCTCCAGCCGCCAATCGCCAGGTGACTGGCGTCAAACCCTTCGGCGCCTTCGTCAACGTGGGCGCCGAACAGGATGGTTTGCTCCAGGCGTGGCTCGTGGCATGGTATGAACACGGGGATATCATACGTACATGTGTGTGCATATATATATATATATACATAATGCATATATATATATAATATCATATATATATATACATTGAGTATGTGTGTATATATATATAGACAAAATGAGAACATGTAATGGGAATATAAAGGGATATTGCGGGACATATGTATAATGTCTCTTAAAGGTGGGGTTTGA